TTTGGAAGTTACCATGGAATCAATCTTCAATGTTAGCCAACCTTTCCCTGATTCTGCATTGGAGTGGTTGGCCAAGAAAGGGGAAGTAGACATGAGAACTGACAAAGTTGTTGAGTGGTTGCTAAAGCTGAAAAACCTCAAAGTTCTTTACTTGGGGAGGTGGCAAAGTGCAGTTGATGAGCAGCAAATTGAGGTCGAAAGCCTTGAGTTCTTAGAAGGTTTGAAGAAAATGAAAAAACTGAGGCTTTTGAGCCTCCAAGGGATCTCCTGGATCAACAAGCTTCCAAATTCCATAAGAACATTGAGTGAACTCAGAGTGTTAGACTTGAAATCTTGTTTCAATCTGGAGACACTTCCTCAGGGCATAGGATCTCTCAAGAGGCTCACGCATTTGGATGTCTCCGGCTGCTATATGCTTGATCAGATGCCAACATCCATATCCAAACTCACTGAACTTAGAGTCTTGAAGGGGTTTGTTGCAGGGAGGTCAAGTCTCAATGATCTGAGAGGTTTTAAGAAGCTCAGAAAGTTGAGTATCAACACGAACAGGCGTGATTTCCCCGACGAAACGGATCTCCGTGTTCTCCAAGATCTTGGGGAGCACGGTAAGCTTCGAACTCTTGGCATTGTATGGGTGGCCGAAGGGTTGAAGCAACCATCATCGGGCGAACGAAACATGATACGACAAGTAACGAGGAAAATCGGCAGACAGCTAACCATGCAATTCAGCAAACAAAGGGATCAGTCTAATGATGTGATCTTAGAACTACCAAAAGAGTTAGAGAAGCTTGAGATGGAATGTCTGCCAAAGGAGAAGCTACCCTTATGGCTAAATCCTTCAAATTTGACAAGCCTGAAGAGACTCTACATTAGAGGAGGGAAACTAGCAGAGCTCGGGAGCGAACCATGGAAGGCCGAGGTCGTTCGTCTGAAACACATGACGGAATTAAAGATAGAATGGAGAGAACTTCAGAAATCTTTCCCAAATTTGAGTTACTTGCAGAAAGTACGATGTCCAAGAGTTACTTTCTGCCCCTGTGATGCCAATGGAGTGTGGATGAAACCATGCCAGTAGCGATAAAAACAATGGTGGCATTGAGAAGCAGCAACCTAAAAGAGCAGCTGGTTATGGTGCGTATACTAAATGTATGGTTCTTTCTGAGTCTATATTCATTTTGGTTATGTTTCCTGAATGTTCGCTCATGAGTTGATTTCATTCATAGAAAATTGAATTGAGAGTAATTGAAGTTGGATCTAGATCTTCATTTTTCTGGTGAAAATTCATGGTTGGGCGAGAAATGGAGTCCCAGGAAGAAAAGAAAATTCATCGCCAGCTAAATGAAGACAAGAACCAGATGGCCTTGTCGATCCTTGTTCCCTGTCCTCATCCTGTTTGACTCTTTTAAATTAGTATATATCAATTCTCTCTTTCATAAGTAGTTCTTCAAACAAATTAGTTAACACATAGTTTCCACTACGAAAATCAAAGGTAAATGTTAGTATAGGTTCGTTGAGGATTATTGTGAACAGCGAAATTGTAGGTTTATAAGCGAAGAATTATTGTGAACAGCGAAATTGTAGGTTTACAAGCGAGGAATACTATTTTCATTGTTTCAGCCTTAAAACAAAAGCAAAGCCACAGACAACATTATATAATTGTGGAAGGTCATGAATTCCTAACAAAGTCATAAAGTATTTGTTGGTCAAAAGAAGAAATTAAAGTTATAGTTTCCACCCGAGATTGAAATGGCTCTAAATATTATATTAAAAAAAACAACGAAAACAAAACCATGATTTAAATCTTAGGAATCAAAAGTAAAGTATTGATGAGGTGATAGGAAGTAAGATCTTGGTCAAAAGAAGAAAAGAAAGTCAATGTTTTGCTTTGTCCTCCTCCATAATTGACCAGTCCTTTCTTAGCCTTCCAGTTCGTCTCTGAAACCTTTTTCGTTCTCAATTCTTCATTTCAACAAGCCTACAAAAAATGGGAACACAACCAGACATGAACAAGACCAAATTCAGCTGAAAAAACCCACTCCCATGGCTTCCCTGACTGAGAAATTTCCAGTCCACACTCTGCTTCTCGAAACACCACCCTCAAATAACCAGACGCTCGATATAATTCCACCAAGAGTTAAAGAAATCTGGGAAGAATGGAACATTAGAGGCCTAATCCTCTTCAGTCTCTCCTTACAAACCTTCCTAATCCTCTGTGCTCCTCTCAGGAAACGCACCTCTAGAAAACTCCCCATCTTCCTCCTCTGGTCCGCCTATCTCCTCGCCGATTGGACCGCCAGTTTCATCGTCGGCCTCATTTCCAACAACAACGACGACAGCAGTAACAAGAAAAAGTCCGATGCCAATCAAGAACTTCTCGCCTTCTGGGCCCCTTTTCTCCTCCTCCATCTCGGCGGTCCCGACACCATTACCGCCTTTGCTCTCGAGGACAATGCCCTCTGGCTTCGCCATTTAATCGGCTTGATTTTTCAGGTCGTCGCCACTGTTTATATCTTCATTCAAACCATCCCCCAAAACAAGCTCTGGGTTCCTTCCACTTTGATGTTTCTTGCAGGAATCATCAAGTACGCCGAGCGGACTAGGGCTCTGTATTTGGCGAGTTTGGGGAGTTTCAGATCCTCCATGCTTAAGGAGCCTGACCCAGGTCCTGATTATGCTAAATTAATGGAGGAGTTTTCTTGTAAGGAAACTGCCCATTTGCCTACTCGCATTGATCTCGTCGAAGAGCCTAACAAAGAATGGAGCCCTTTCACAAGCACAGTAAAACAGGGTACTCTGAATGAGCTTGAGGTTGTTCAATACGCCTTTCTTTACTTTAACAAATTCAAGGGTTTGATTGTTGATTTGATATTTAGCTTTAAGGAGCGAAATGAAAGCAGGGATTTCTTCTTGGCAAGAACCCCAATTGATGCCCTCAAGATCATCGAAGTTGAACTCAACTTCATATATGAAGTTCTCTTCACCAAACTGGTTGTTCTTCATAACAAATATGGATGGTTTTTCAGATTCGTTTCTGTATCTTCTGTGATCACGGCTTTGATTCTGTTTACCCATTTGGATAAAACTGATCTTGACAAAATTGACGTTAGGATTACTTATGCTTTGCTTATTGGGGCTTTAGTTTTAGAATTCATATCCATTTTCATGACTGTCTTCTCTGATTGGACTGTGGCTTCCCTTAAAAAGGATGATTCCTGTGTTGCCACCATTTTTAAACACTTCCTCCGCCTCAAAGGGCTGAGATTGTCTGAGCATAACAAGCCACCATTCTCAGGCTGTAAGAAGCTCGACACTCCACGAATCGTTCGTCGATGGCGTGAGTCTGTGTCTCAGTTCAATTTGATATCATATTGCCTTTGGGAACGTATTCCAATGGATGATTTGAGGAACAAATCATTCTGTTGTGGCTGCAATCTTGCTTGGAAGAAACTCATTCGTTGGTTTCGTGATGCAAAGGTTGTTGTGGTTGATTATCTTGGTGCCAAAGAGTTCCTTGATGATTGGAAATATGTCTCCAGACAGCCCGTTTTTGAGGATCATTGGGGCTTTATCTTCCGAGAGATGCAAGACAAGTCCAAAGCTGCAGAAAGTGCACAAGTTACTGAAGCAATATGTTCATCTAGAGGCTCCTATGCATTGAAATCAATGGAGCTTAACTCGAACGCCGACGTCGATGAGCTGATATCCTACATCGACGATGTTGCTTTTGACGAGAGTGTTATTCTATGGCACATAGCCACAGAACTTTGCTTCCGAGACGAACAAAACACGAACGCCAACAACAAAACTCATACTCCTCCAGAATTCAGCAAGCTGTTATCAGATTACATGCTCTACCTATTGGTGATGCTCCCCTCAATGATGTCAGTCGTGGCAGGACTTGGGGAAATAAGGTTCAGGGACACCTGCGCCGAGGCGAAAAAGTTCTTCGACCGACGAGGATTGGAGTGTAGCTCGAATGAAGATACAAACAGAAGGGCTTGTCGGGAGATACTCGGGGTGAACATAAAAGCGAAACCGGTAACAGTGAAGGGAGATAGAAGCAAATCTGTACTGTTTGATGCTGCAATACTTGCTAAGAAGCTAAGAGAGTTCAAAGAGGAAAAATGGGAGATTATGAGCAAAGTATGGATTGAAATGTTGGGATATGCAGCCAGCCATTGCAGACCAGACCAACATGCTCAACAGGTTAGTAAAGGAGGAGAGTTCATCACTTTGGTTTGGTTGTTAATGGCGCATTTCGGGCTTGGAGAACAGTTTCAAATCACTGAAGGCCATGCCAGAGCAAAACTCATAGTAGATAAGTAACTACAGCTGACTCTCATTTTCTTTAATGAGTTTGTTCTTTGCATTAAACCCGACCCCGAGCCTTGTTTATCAATGAAGAATTTGTTCTTTTTTAATGATTATAGATTGATTTGTATCGGTGAACTCTTAATATCCTGAATAGTAAATAAATAAATAAAAATTTAACAAAAATAGAGGATTCGGTTGGATTTAGTTGTAAAAATTATGGAGTTGAGAGAAAATTTCATTCAATTTAATCAAATGACTTAGGTACATCGTACTATATATTAAATAATAGATGCATTATCAAAATAAAGTTGTGTACCAACCCCACATTGTACGAGTAGTTGGAGACTTTATTGTATGATATTTATTAAATTTAGTATATGGTTTACAATTTCCTACATGTCATTTTCTAATTTAATTTGGTATGTTAATAATAAGGACCAATTTTATCATATATTTTTCCTGAAATTAAATATGTTTACTTTCTCTCTCCACTCGTTTTCCAATTGACCGTTACATTCTCTCTCCTCATTATTTTCTGATTTTTCCACGTGTCAGCCTTTGAGCAACCAATCATCTTCTTTTCCAAATTCCTTTCTTCCCCTCTACACAATCCTCATATTCCTTCTAATAATAAAAAATAAAAATAATTTTTTTTTTTAAATATTATTTTGAATTTTGTTTTTATCTTAAAAATAATTTGAAAGTAACAAACAAACACACTGTAATTGTGAGAAGAAAATGGGAAAGAAAAGAGAAAGCAGAGAGAATTAAGAAGTGTTGAGATTGTTGGAATCTCGTTGGATGAACTTAATCTGACCCATCATCTTGGCCGCCAGTGGAAGGCCGCCGCATTTCTTCATCACCTCCACCTTGGTTTCCTTCAGATTTGAAGGATGGCGATGGCGATGGCGGCTGGAATCGCCGTCCTTTGCAACTTCTTGCCAGAATATTTTCCACAAACTTTCTGGGTCTTTCTGAGGAACCAAACGCCGCAAATTTCCCTCACCCACCATACCTTTTGCAGCTTTCTCGCTTCTGCTCGTCACTATAATTGCCCCGCCTTCCCCTCTTGGAAGCCCATCTCTCAAATTCTCTCCGGTTTTCTGGGAAGATTTCAAATCCCAAAACCCATTTTGTTCTTCCTCTGTTTCCGATTCTTGTACGTCATCCAGCACAACCAGATACCGTTTCCCTCTCAGTTGCAAGCGGAGGGTGTAGAGGAGGCGGCGGAGTGTTTGTTCACCGGGAATATTTGTGTCTATTCCGACTCCGAGAGAGATTAATATTCTCTTGAGTACAGCGATTTTGGGATCTCTGTCTTCGCTGAAAATTCTCGACATGGAGACCCAAATCCTCGGGAGAAACTTGGATTTCACTTCTGGGTTTTGGAGAAAGGCCCGGCAAACCGTCGATTTCCCTATCCCTCGGACTCCGGTGACTCCGATTGCCCTGAACCCATTTCCACCGCCGTCATCTTCTGGTTTCTCGAGCATTTTCCGCAGAACCAGGAGCTCGCTTTCGACGCCGTGGATGGTGGATTCGTCGACCGTCTCTGTAACCCATCTCGAGATTTTGGTTTCTGGTTGAGTGAGATGGATCTCGGAGTCGGGAGGTGTGGCGTTCATATCTCCGATGGCAGTGGATTTGGGTTCTGAGGTGCTTTAATGGCGGAATGAGTGGTTAGTTTGAAGTATCCATGGCAGAACAGAAGCTCCTAAAAATTATAAAGAACATGAAATAATAAAATATTTCAAAGTCTATTATCATTTCCAGATCTGACAGCAGTGTACAGAGTTTATATTTTAAAATTCAAATCCAATCATGTCAGCTGCAACAAATTGCCAAATTATAATTTTAATCGATCTTGTTTTCTTTCATACCAAAAAAAATAATAATAATAAAAAGAAGAGTCAGCCACAAAATGAGTTCTTAAATGATATCATCCCGAGGCAATGGCAACCGCAGCTGCTCTGTCACGAGTCATGCTGTGACAGTAATGTGAGATCACACATCAGTTGAGGAGCAGAATGAAATCATTCCTTAAAATGGTGAAGAAACCTCTCACTAGCAGACACGTTTTAAAATCTTTGAAGAAAAACTCAAAATGAGAAGCACAAATAAGACAATATCTACTAACGGTGAGCTTGAATCTAACGAGTTGGTGTAATAAGAGCAAAGTACATGCATAGATATTTTACATAGATGAATACAGTTTCAACAACCTGGGTGCCATGTTCCTCACCTCAACATTCTCCAAATGATACAGAACATCATATAAGCTCTAAGCTACTATCATCATATCGCTTTAAAACGTCAGGATCTCAAGTAATTTGGCCTGATCAAATGATACACTCAATACTATATATCACAAATACAAACAATAAATAGACGAAGGCAAAGAAGTTGGAACCAAAGGGTAAATGAATTAAGCAGGTTCTCTAGCCACCTTCACTGGTTTCTCTTTTAGGAATGCTACCTCGCCATTAGGAGCCATCAGTAGATGATCCGATCCCTCATCTTCGCTCCTTGGTGATATAGAAGATGCAAGCGATTCTGACCCATCATCGTCATCTGCATTATGACACGAAAATCGCAGGGAATAATTCAACGGGAGGACGAGAACGAAAGTAAATCTTAAGAGCAATACACTGGATGTTTAGTGTTTCTATTCAGGAACATACCAGAATATGCTGGATGATCAGGAAGATGTCTCACTGCTGAAATCTGAATGCTTTCTGGAAGAAGACAATTGCAGAATGAACCTGTAACTCCAAATAATGGTATCATCAGGTAAAAGACTTCAGCAAGCATCAAGAACCCTATCAAAAATACAAGAACATATAGTAGTTGCGGAATTCATCTTAAGAGAAACATCTTAAGGAGATTCTCGAGGTACTGTGGAATACACGCAGCGGTTCGATCAATCCCATCCGAGCTTATTCCATGGCGTAAAATTGCATGTTGAAGAAGAAAATAGTTCTTACCTAATCGGGCAAGCCGATTCACCCATCCAGGAATGGGCTTCCCAGTCAGTCGCATGCTGACTTCGTCTGTAAAATGGTTGCAATTTTTGGCAATCAAATGATATGTATCACCATGGTACTCTGAAGAAAGGTGCTCCATGAATGATCGAAATTCAGCACGAGACAAATCAGTGCTTCCCAATAACACTGACCTTCGGAAGATGAATCCAGGGCAACTTTTCGGCTCTACCTCGAATACGCCACTTGTAGGATACTCATGTGCTCCAAAGCCAAACTCCATGCCGTGAACTGAGCATCAAATCAGGTAAAAATGACTATATGCCAGGATACAATGCAAACAGAACAACACATCTAGTTTGTCAATGAAGTTTCAAATGGAAGCGTTTACCGATAATTATGTTATAACGAGGCTATAGGTGACATAACCTAAATGTGACCAAAGGGTTGTGAACCCTGCATACACTATCCCCATCCTATATTTTCTATACAAATAAGGTCGACTATTTCAATCATCTATCCTATTGAACGGAAAGATTGACCTCTAGTTCAAAGGAAGGGCGCTTAATATCAGCTAACAACTTGTCTACGACCAATTGAGATTGGAACAACTGAAACATGAACCGTTTTCCAATTATTATAAAATGAACAAAAACGTGTAGTTACCCAAATGCCTTATAGTTGTACTCGTAATGCCATGACCGACAATGAGCAGACTGAAACGACTAATCAGTATAAGAAACAATTCACTAGCACGAACAGAATCTGTTACACATGAAGTTAAAGAAGAGAACAACAATCAAGTAATGGCATGCTCGCTTACATTTGCGACAGTCCCACGGAATATGTCATCCTCAACTTTCACCGTCCTAATTAACCAAACGAAAACTTTCTACCGATCATTCATTAGATATTTCAAGAAAAAGCTCCATATTTCTCGCAGATACGTGCCAATAATCCCATGAAGGTTCAATAGTTCATACTCCGAATACTCCTAAGTCCAATCACTCAAGTCAGGAAGAGATAAATATAGGAATGCATAATGGGTGAGCTCAAAGGTATGCCACGAACAAGTATCAAAGTTCAACTAATTACAGCTCCCTCCCATTCAAATGAAACTAAAACATACCATTTCATTATCCACGATTCATATATTCATCTCAAGATAACCAATTTACAACCATTGCAAATAGAATTCAAAGGGAAAATGAAAATGTGGAATGAGCACACAACAACAGTAATAAAGAAGTATGTGGTTTACATACCCTCAATACCCGAATGAAAGATTCCGAGCCCCAACCAATAGAGATAGTTATTTATAGGAGTAAGATCGTAGACGTTAAGATACAACAAAGCATGACTGCCGCCCTGCTCCTTGTCCTCGGTACAGTCCGGGCTAGATCTCAGAGGAAACAAACGCATTGTGTTCAATAGCCAGCCCGGGTTGACAATACCCCAAAAATCACAGACTGATCATCTCCTCACGAAACACCCTTCAAGAAACCTAAGAATTCAAAGAGAAGCAGCTGCAGAAGTATAAGGTTTCAATAAATGAGAATCAGAAAAGCTAAAAACCTCAAAACTGGGGTGAGTTTTCAAACGGAAGAAAAGCTCGGATGAACAGGTCGGAGTTGGGGGGAAAAATACCTTAATCGTCAGTTTGCACAAAGAAAGAGGGATTTCGGATTTTGAAAATTGAAGTAACATTCAAAGAATAAACCCTAAAAACATCAAAATGGGGCGAGTTGTATAGACTTTGCGGCCAATTGATCGAATGAGGAGGAGCTGAAAAAGATCGAAGAGAGAATTTAGCGATCCCGATCCCTTCAACTCTATGACAGAAATGAAAATTAAAGGAAGAAAACGCAAAATCAAACACAAGAATTGAGAAAGTCTCAACCAAATCTGGGGTTTCCAGACCAGAATCAATGCGGGGATGAAGGGTATGCAAAAAAAAAAAAAAAAAAAAAAAAAAAAAAAAAA